ATTATAAAGGAATGATGATGCATAAAATCGAACGATTTTCATGCATACAACTACGAAAGGCTGCACATTTCAGGCTATGTTCAATTAAAAATTCGTATGAGTTTGTAAATTTGATTGATTAGCAGATAATTTCAGAGAAGGATACGTTAGTCAATTTTGATGCTGTGTTTATGTACATAAATATTCCTGTTTAAGCAGCCCTTCAAGCTCTAGTGCAAACTCTGAAGGAGCATGCGGAGAACATATAAGTAGTAGGGTTGAGTATGGCCCCCATACTCAGACTTCCTAACCTATTTTACCTTTGATAGTAGGTTTAATGAACAGACACAATAACCTGCGATGGGATCATGCTTATGTCCCACGTAGGCGAACAACTATATGGCCAAACTTGATGAAAACTATTTGGAAGAGGCAATACTAACTTCTAAACTATGGATGACTATTTTGTCATCTGGCCTCATGATAAGGAAAGCTTACATATTTTCCTGCTTTCACTTAAACAATGTGGAAGAAACATTAGGTTCGCAATATAAATGGAAGAGAATATATATAAACCCATTTTGGATGTTCTGATCATTAGATAATAGAGTAAGTTAGCACATTTTCAGACGCAGACTATTTACTCAAAGATGGAGAAGCTGAGACCTTTCCTCAAGTCCTAATTTTGATGTCTTGTCTTCCTCTTAAAAAGATAGGACGAACTAGTAAGAAAGTGGAGGATAAAAATAGTGTGCAAAGAAACCCCGATACTATTTTCGGTAATAAGATCTTTTAAAAAGAAATATGACCCATTATCGAAATCCGGCCGATACAAGATTGTGTACTCCTGTGGTCGACCTTATCTTGGCGATACATACCGGACTATTCCATAAAGATAATGGGAAAATCAAAATGCCTATAAAGACAGCTAGGTCCAATGGCCAGAAGTAGCCGACCAGATGGAAAAGATTAAACATGAGGCAACATGGTTTAAAACGAATAGGTTTGCTGATTGCGGTACGTCTGCTGTTAAAAGGAAGACAAGAGAAGTTATTGAAAGTAATGGATTAGGGAATACGTTGAATGTGAGGAACGATGGTAGAAAGTGTGTAGGAACTACTTATGCATGATTGATAGATTGAGGGAGAGAGGATGTTGAGCTGCCATCCAAAAGAAGGCGACTCAACTTGTCCGCTCAATGCTGGTTCTGACTTCATTCAAACTCATTCAACATTTTAGATAAGACTCATCAATCAAACGAGACGTACGAGATTACGCAGCCCCAGTCATGCCTTTCCTTGGGTGGTTAGTACTTAATGATCCTAGACTGAAAGGCTACGACAGATGGTTTCGTAACCAGAGGTAAACGAACACAAGCATACTTCACATTATTCCAATCATAGTAACATACGGACTTAAGCAGTCTCGGCCTGGGTATTTTATTAGACCCTCATTCCTTGTTAACCAAAGCTTGGCGCCATGGTTTTTTGATCACTCTGATTTAGGACCGGTATTGCATAAGAACGTTAACATATATACACACACCGATAAACGGACCATGACGAATGGAAAAGACAATTAAGCAAACCATTTTATATCTATCTATAGCTATACATTTTCATCCTTTCGTTCTTTTATAAGAATATAAATATGAGGTAAGATAGAGCCAGACGGTCTTCTTGACCTAGTGTTAACGTGAAAGTTCTACAAGAATGAATTCCAGCTCTGATGATGTTCATTATATGATCGATGAAAGCTTAGCTCGTTTTCATCCGAAACGAGAGAGGATGTCGCATGGACTGCGTCAACTAGCAGGCTGTATTAAAGCAAACTGCTTAAGTACAACGGGAATCTTCTGGTAATATTGACTTTCGAATCTCTTTTTCATGCACTTTTATACGAAATGGTGCTAAAACATATAAGCCTTTACTGAGAGATCCAACTAAAAGACTTAAGACTAGACTAAAGGATGCCCTTAAGGATATTCATTGAAACTTAGTTACTCTTTGTATCTACAAAACCAGGAGATGTTTCGCAAGCGCGATATGCCACGATGAATAAAACTTCAAAAGGGCTGCGGGCCCATGGCATTCAAGTTAATTAGTAATTTCCAAACTTAATATTTTGCGGGATATGAGGCAATGCTCTTGATACTTATTGGATAGTTAAATCGGTTTTAGATCAGGAGATAAAAGTTCATCAAGCTTTGATGTGTACACTAAGACTGCGTTGCCCACTAATAGTCTGTATGCCAACTATGTAGATTAGCAGCGGAAAGATCTAATAGGAACAAAGCCTTCCTCAGATACTTATCTATGTTAATTCCATTGTGAATGAAGATAATGCAGCTACAATAAGATAAGCGTTAATTCATAAGGATCAATCTATTTTGAGGCCCGATAGCTGCGACATTAAGGAGTATGCGATATAAGTTTAAAGTAGTTGCTAACAAAAGTAATCATTAATTTTGCACTATAATTTATCTTATCAGGGTGGATATGACAACAAGTAATGAACTAGGACATCTTAAATCAAAAGAACAAGGATCCGTCTCCATGACTTTTAGGTGATAGTGAATTACTCTAGTTAGACACAAAAAAAGATAAAAGAAGTCATTATCCTGAGCACACAAGACTAACACTTATGATACTCTAAAACCTACTTATAAAACAAAAATAATACCAAAATATGGTCCCAATGTTTGTGTTTGTAGGGCTAATATCTAAGTTTTGGAGATATAAAAAATATCTACAACAAATAATGTCATTTTGAAGCGCTCTAATGGCTACCAAATCAAGCTCAATTACAAATTTTTCAGCACCTTAAGCAATCTAAGATAGTTCTAATTTTTATAAACTTATCTATTTAACAGGAATGCCAAAAGATTAAAGATAACACATTATCAATATCTGTCTATTATTTAATGCCAGAGTAAGTGGCTGCGTGATTAATTAAGGGTAGTGCCATTACAAATTCCCAATCGCGATGAGCAAGATGACCGAGGCTTCGCCAAATGAGAATTCGGAAACACTGAGGAGCATGGATAAATTTGTACCTAACCCAAGAAACATAGACTTTCTATGCTTATCTGTGGCAAGTCGTCTCGAGGATAAAAACGAAAAGTTTCCTACTAAACAGTGTTCTTTACTTAGAGCCTCCCGGAAGGTGTTTTTATCCTGTGTCATCAGGTTGTCAATTATCTGCATCCAACTGACCAAAGCTTCAGGCAACAACTGAAAGAAGCATGGCTCGAAAAAGAGGTCGAATACGTCTCTGCGCCAAGCCCGTCGCGTGTACTGATAAGAGCTGATCGAGGCAACCAGCTGGCTGGCAGCGGAGAAGTGGTGCTGGTTGGCAATTCTGGTAATAAACCCAAAATACATTATAAAGCTGGTAAAAATAATGCAATAGTAACCTGGCAATGAGCTTAATTAAATAACCCTTTATATTCCGGAAATTATAATATAGATGTCTCGTTTAAGAATAATAGCAATTAGAGCTGAAAATTTCATTGAGCATGATTCATAGAGTGGTTCGATTGCTAAAATGACCACGATAAATTGATCCGTCAAACCATTTTTTCTTGAATAGCAAGAGTACTTTCTCCGTCAGTAGAAAGTGGCTTTAGACTCAACAATGCGCTGCCGCCATCAAAAACGAGATTAAAATGTGATGCTATGATTGGCCAGAATCAATGGATTACGCGACCAGGGAGAATGTATAAATTTGCATAGTAATAATGTGGAATACACTTCAAAACTGGTGTAGCTGTAAGGTCAGTAATTATCAGATATAAGTGTATCCAACATTCTCCAACCTTCCTAGAAAGCATTTGCAAATCATTTCAATAATGATTTTGAGCTTGATGATGATGACTAGTGTCTTGTCTAAAAGTCATATGAGCTATGAAGCAAGCTTTTGCTTTGAACATGCAGTCTGATTTTTACAGATAAATGTCCCCAGGCAAGGCTATAGGTGCAGCTCAAATGAAAGAAAGGACGCCAACTGAAGAGACCAATTCTTCTGATTTAATTTTGCTTCCCTAATTTGTCCTGCATATCAAAGCGACTAAAGCTGTACCTCCACTTAAGTAGTCTCCAAATAGATCTGTTAGATTTTAAAACAATATGGGTGCTGGGCTCACAGCATAAATTTAGTAAATTCGGAAAAAGTAAAAAAAAATCTATTCATAGGTTGCAAAATTAGCTAGTCCACTCACGTTCTAACTCTGAGATAGGGAAATACCGTATTCAATAAGCCAGTGCTAAGAAGGGAAGCGATTTTGTCCTTTTCG